GTAGCAATCGTTTTACCAAGTATAGCGATCTCAGGTGAGTCCTTACTAATTTCAAAGTTCACAAATTGTTAGACAGTCCCTTTAGCTGTTTCACGTCTCTTCTATTGCTTCTGCAGAACAATTCTATACTATGGCATCGGTATTACAAAAGTCAAAGTCTTGCGCTGTCAAACCCTTTGTTACCGAGCTGTTTGAAACATGAAGAGCTTACGATATCCACGTAAAATTTCTTGTGCCTCCAGAGGCTAGAAAGTACACGGAATGTACAGAATTAACTGAAGTTATACAGTTTGAAATATGATTATGTTCCCCTTTGTGGACAAAACGCAGGTAGCCCATTATGATGTTTTATGCTAAATCAGCAACATAAACATCCTAAATTAATACAGCCCTAATGCAGTTTCCTACTTCGTGGCATTTATTCTAAATCTACAAAAACCTATACATTATTCCCCCTCGAAAACGAGTACGTACGACTAAAGTAAAATTTGGAAAAGCTATTTTATCTGAACAGTTATTCGTCAAGCTAGGTCCATAAATTCGTATTACTCTTTTCAAGTATTTGATTTATATAAAGGTGAAAAAAGAAACAGTCATTTTACTGAATTTAGAATATTTACTCTAACAACTTAATCCAATTTTTATTTCGTAAAGCTAGTGGGAAAGAAACCCTCAGAAATGAAATCAAACTCATCAGCATGTTGACTTCCATGATATATTTCACAAAATAAACACAAGATTACATGTAAAAGATTCTACAACAATCATTATTTTCTCTTTAAATCTCTTTGGATACACGAATTTCAACTTTGTTCTGAAACTCACATAATTGCTAGCATGCACTCGCTGTCATTCAATAAATGATTTCAATCGACATGCTACTTAAAAGTTATGAGTTATTTAACAGTATTCGTCACTAACTGCTTATTTTAGTCACACACACACACAAAATTCGACCATTCCACCCGAACTGTCGACCAGCTCAGAATACTAATGTGGTTCTATAAACCACCAATTCTTAGAAAGAAAACATAAGAAAACAGATAGCTAGAGAAATAAATGGACTACAGATTAAAATGACTGGTTGTAACATAGATAAGGTCTGCAATATTGCATTGAAAAAAGTTTTTTTTAACAAGTCCCAAAATTTTGTTTTTGAGACTGAAACCTTTTGTAATTTATGCATTATGAAGCTAAATTTATCCTGGAATTTTTGTTTTAAAGTTATGTGTACGGAAGTTATGAATTCAATAATTGTCCACTATAAATATGTGACACGTTATACGATGAAACCAAACGGTTTCAAGTGATCGATGTTTCAGTTTATGTTTATCATAGACTCTGAAACGGTCAACTGAAACACTTTCGATGTAAAGTATCTGTTTTATTAATTATCTATCATCGCAACAATAACAATACTATTAATACGTCAAATAATAAACTTAGCTCATAAAAATAACACAAACATATAAGCACTCTAAGAGTTGTCCACGTTTACTGAGTATTGTAAAAAAAAACAACATCAATACATATATAAACCTGGAATAGGTGTACCAAAAACATGGTCGAAAAAAAGAGACATGTTCTAAAAAGACTAGTAGTAAATTTTCAAAACTTTCCTTCATTGACTAAAGGTAGGGAATGTTGACTATGGAGCCACAGGCTTTTGGGCTGTGTAATGCTTCCAGCTGTGAGCGGGAGGGCAAGCGTGTCCAAGACTGTGAGCCGAACGTGCATGTAAGTCCCATGATAACACATCTGGGTGTGGATGCTGTTACGGGTGAGAAAGTATGAATTCTTTTAAGAGAAAAAAGCAGTTCTTAAAGAATTGAGTCTGGTTTTCTTATTGTCAACTTTTGTGTTGGCACCGTTGATTGCTTCCTTTAACACTTGGTGAGTCAGAATAGTGATGAAGCTGTCAATCGATGAAACAGAATTACTCACTTCGCTCTGCTCTCACAAACTTATGGTCGAAGATGGTATAAATGTCCCAGAACAAAAAATAAATGCTATAGAAAATGACTAAGAAAATTTCCCGATCACACCAATTCTACTTGTATTATACAAACTAGAAATACTATTTTGGTCTGAATATAAAATGTAAACTAGCTTTTATGGTAGGGTATTCTTGTAACCATTTCTGTTGTTGGGTGGTTTTGTTTTATTATTCGGTAAAAATAAAAATGCAAACTCCAGCCAACTTAATATTAAAGATGGCATTTTATTTCAATAAGCTCTACATGTTAGTTTAACTAATGTTCAATGACTGGCCTAAGCTCGCATTCGACGCTAATACAAAAATTTTACTTACTTACTAATTTTCTCGCTCTACAAAACGTACAGCATCTGTATTATTGCTTAATCGAAACACAAATTAAATAATAACAGTTCTGAACTAACTAAATGGCTAATAGACTCAATCAAATAATATCTCACTACTTCAGACTCAATGTAACGTGCTAGTAGACTCAATAATCATTCAACAGTTAACAACTATTCCAGCCCAATTTGCAATTTATGCCGCACTGATCATTTACTAAAATTACAAGAAGGTTCTAGAAATAAAGTAACGTTCATCACGTTACATCAAACTTCCCTTTGGACAAATAATGATACAAAGATATAGAATGAAAACAAAACGTACAACATTATCTATGGCAGAATGATCTCTGTTTGAAGCTAATAAAATACAAATTAACAAAAATTAAAGGTTTACGTTCCACATTACTGTAAATTTTTGAAGAAAATAGTGATAATTGATACGCTGAACATAAAATTTTCTTGTAAAAGGCCTAATAATTTATATAAATAAGCATCAGTTATAATATAATGGTATCATTTAGCAATTTTGAATCCTAAATAGATAGATAAACAGAAATACAAATAAATTGATATGTTATATTTCAACTTAGCAGTCCTGGGGCTGGTATTATGAAAATCGTTCCTAATACATAACTTAGGAAATATTTATATCATAAGAACCTTCTTAAGTTCCATCTTAAAGTTTTTGTAACTGGGAAGAAAAACGAGGAAAAAAGTGACCGTTGTATAACAACACTGAAAAATCTCACGGTTGGAAAAATATTCTATGTTTATAGTGTTTTAGATTATTATTATTACCTTTAAATTAACTGACAAAAATATTGTTGAAAAGAAAAGGTTTACGTTACATTTATCAACTAAAAATATGATTAATAAACATTAGGACGTTTTGTAAATATTCTATTTAACATCCGATTTGATTTGGCAGATCCCTATATGTTCCAGTATCTTGTGTTTTAACCAATACATTTCTAGGATAGTTTTTCATATTAAATACTGATTTATGGAAGTACTTAAGAAAGATCTGAGGAGCTTTTCGTGCAACTGAGCCCTGATCTTCATATACATTCAAATTAGCTCTATACGTGCAAATGATAACGTATGTAATTCAACACTTATTCTCAGGCATATTTCATCGTTTATGACAAAAAAGGTGACCAAAAAATTATGAACTCAATTTTTCAATCTTACACCTATCACTTTTTTTTTTTGCTTTTGGGAAGTCATTTGAAATAATAACATCCATTTCAAGAAAGCTGTGAAATCATTATATATCTGCACTAACGGTAATGTAATTTCTAACAAACTCTGCTTGCATGAACTTTGTTATAAATGGTTCTTTCCTTTGTAACTTATGCTGAGGAGCCAGGCGTGGCCAACTGATTAGTGTACTTGGAATATAAGTCCGAAGATTCATGGTTTCTCAACTAATTGCCACGAATAATGCTCTTCACATTGTAGAGCCATGGATGGGTAATAAGAGTAAGCGTCAAATCCCACTATTCGATCTTACAAGAGTTGGTGTGGGTGTTATTGACTAACCACCTTCCCTCTAGCCTGTTAGCTCAAAATGAGAGACAGATATTGGCAATGTTTATAGCTTTGCGCACAATTCTCAAACAAACAATTAGCACTAAGGATCTATATTTCTTTTTTTGAGCGAAAATTATGGTTTTAAAAGGCTTAATAATCGTATGAAAGGATAAAACTTTATTAAATATTCTTGCCATCTAAAGACAAAAAATCACGAAAAGTTAAACGAATAGACTAAATATACTAAAGTTATTTGAATAGGATGAAAAGTTCCCAGTGTGCTTAGACTAATATTTGTTTTAGCTTGTTCATTAATTTTCATCAGTGATTTCAATCTACTGTCGAATCCATAAAATCGTTTGCGTGATTACAAACGATTTTTTTTTTTCAGTCATATTGCTTGGAACTATAACGTTCAGTGGTTTTGATTTTCATCCCTCCTTGAAGTATTGCTGTTATGGAGAAAAAAAGAAAATAAAATAAAAAATGGCTCTAATATTAAAAAAAAATCCTACTTAAGTCACTCTTCATTGATCATTTGTCATTAGAAACTTGTAAGTAGAAATTAGAATTGTAGTTTTTCAGTGTTTTTATTTTAATTTTGATACAGTGTTCAGTTGCTGGATGGAGAAGGCGGGAAAAGAATCTTTAGTCTATCATGTTGAACCAATGAATCAGGAGACGAGTGCTTCTTCAAGCTCTTTCGTAAATACAAACGTTATCCATTTAGCCTGGCGTCACAAGTCACATGATCTTCAACTTGCAATCAGCAACGCCAGCGTTTCTCGTACAACTAAGTAACTTCACAATTGACTTTTCCAAACTATGTGCCGCAGCGCTTGCTCGGATTGGTTCGATTTTATAAGCTAGGTTCAATTATGACTGCTTGTTTATGTGACAATAATAACGGTGGGGCTTTTCATATGTTCAACAACTGAACGACTCTCTTTCTAACCCCACCAGTCAGTACTTGCAATATAATGCTTTAACGTTTTTCAAGTAAGCAGTTCACTTTCTGCCGTGCTAGTAAGGATCTTTTAGGTACGACTCACGGCAACCCTCTGGACGGCCTCATCATCCTTCCACCAACAGTTTCCGTGACCGGGGTGGCAAGGCTCGGCCTGCCCCGCCACGAAACCCTGGCCATGGACCTGACGACAGCCTATCGCTACAACGCCAGTATGATGGAATATCATTCATGTAAGAGTAAGTACTTGTTCTTGTTAGGTAGTCCCGAGGGTCGTCGTAGCTTTCACGTTTCAAAATCCCGTGGGGCTTTACCGTTGTTACTGCGACTACAGTTATCATAATCTTGCATTTGATAACAAGAAAAAAATAACAATATTGTCTTGCGAATTCAAAAATGCGCATGGAGAGGAAATGCCATTTCTTGCGAGACGTCAGGTTCATTGCAAGTACATTTCCTTCTCAGCGGCGGTTTGTGTGATATACTGGTTAGCGAGAGCCCTGGAGATTTTCTTAGAGCTTCGCTTTGTTTGTGTTCGTTCTGGACTGTTGCTGCAAGTGCACTTTTCACAAGTTAACTCGATTGTGACGAGCGGGCTCTCGTTCATAAATAATCAACGACTTGCAGACGCCGAGCCTCCTACCTCCAGATACGTATTAAAGCAATAGCGTAGCAAGTTGCGTGAGCAGAAACTTCAACACCTCGTTGACCGGTGACGGTTCACCGATAGTTACGGCTCTACCCTCTCAGACCGATCATATTCCCAGGTATTCAGCGGCGCAAAATACCTAGAATCCAGCGTATGTAATAACCCCAGCCGAAAACAAAATTTTTCAATAATACCTGAACATCATTTTGTTCCTCTTCTTTCCTGCCTCATTCATCTTCTAATCCGTTCAGTATAGCTAACATGTAGAGATGGAGCGAATCCCTTTGGCCTACTACAACTATCTACTGGATGTCCGACACCGTTTCCTGGCTAAATTAGGTTCGTACTTGAAAATCCTCATTTTTTTCATTCCTTGTTTGTTTATTTTAGAGCAAAGCTACATTAAGCTATCTGCTGTGTCTACCGCGGTGAATCAAACCGGGTATTTTAGCGTTGTAAGTCTGTAAACTTACGCTGACCCACCGGCAGACTTTATATTCCTTCACTTTAGAAAATTTCAACGTGTAAGACAGTTTTTGGTTTTATATTTTCACGCGGGTTATTGTTCACAACATCGTTGAACTGAGGGATTTAAACTAAAAATAAATATTTCGAAATTTTCCACACGATTATTGATACATCACATTGAACTATAGACTTATGCATTAGTTTTGTTAAATTAAGTAGAAGTAATAAAGTCCGCATCTGATAGTTATGTCCTTCAAATATATGTATATATATGTATTTACGCTGCTCTCTATGTATACGAATACTTACTAACGTTTCTACTACTTTGTTCTCTGATAGATTTCCGTATATCTCCCATCTAACTGCACGAACAGAAACGGTAAACGCCATTATGTACGTGTGTTAACTTCTTCACCAGAGAAACTGATTCGAACATAAGTATTCTGTTCTATTATTGACACTGTGCTTATATTATGTAAAACTTTCTAACACATGATTGGCCAAAAGAAATTACCATATCAATATTGTCCATTCTCCATTACCATGTTAAGAAGTACAATTTGATCCATGGAATTATAAAAAAAAAAGTCATAAAAGACTGCTGAGAAAATGTTACACGCACTTTATATATTTCTGTGTTGGGCATGTGATTTGCAAATGTCATTAAGAATTTTGGTATCACATAATAATGATAATAGTCACTAGAGAAGGTGATCTAATCCCTGGAACGTGGATAGGAAAGGAAGCGGTAGTATAGTATATATATGTTTACCATCGTGGAAGCCGAGAAAATAATAAATAAAATCTTGAGGTGGTACGCGAATCGAAACGTTTGGTTGTTTCTTTGTTTTTGAATTTCGTGCAACGCTACACGAGGGCTATCTGCGCTAGCCGTCCCTAATTTAGCAGTGTAAGACTAGAGGGAAGGCAGCTAGTCATCACCACCCACCGCCAACTCTTGGGCTACTCTTTGACCAACAAATAGTGGGATTGACCGTCACATTATAAAGCCCCCCACGGCAGGAAAGAGCGAGCATGTTTGGTGAGAGGGGGGTTTGAACCCGTGACCCTCAGACTATAACGCGCCCTAACCACCTGGTCATGCCGGGCCTAAAACGTTTGAGAATCTCTGCGCTAGAGTTATGAAAATAGCCCATTTGAATGTTTTTCGGTCCACCCTGTAGTTTGTTTTATAAGATATATAATGTAAATTAGATATCTTAAGATGAATTCTGTACTTTATTTCATAGTATAGGCAAACAAACAATACTATCATGGATAGAAATGTGTTTTGTTGTGATTTGAAAATAGTCGATGTGCTAATGAGTTTGTTCTACTTTACATATACTCTGCTTACTAGTGTCGGCACTGTATTTCTCTGTAAAATGTCTGAAGAATGTTCTTCTTGCTAAGGTATTTTTCGGTATAGATTCCGGTCTAATTTAATGTATTTGGAATATAAACAAAGGTGAAACGGGCAGCAACTGACTTTTTTGGTGTGGTATTTGTATAGAGAAAATCTTATAGAACCAATCTGCAAAAGTAGCTCAGATAAGAAGGATGACGTTTCGAAATATATTATTTCCAAGTGTCACTCTGAAATAGGCAGTTTCTGCCCGTTTCACCTTTCTTTTTCATTGTAAATACTATGCCTAAGTCATCTATAAAATAATAGTAGATATATTTGTAACTTGTATACATAAGTCTAAAGCACAAACATATAACTCAAGAAAATAATTTATGTGCGTAGAAGTATGTGTTCGCGCAAAACCTCAATCTGCATAAATCTAGTATGTATATGGAACAACCGGATATATATAAACTATATGCGTCAGGCCAGCCAAATTCTTTCCTGATGTTTATCCTCGTATCTAGTTTCAAGAGTTATGCTGCACATGCTCGGAAAGGTGGGACCAATGATCGTATCCATGCCAAAACAGATTTACGCCCTCTTAAAACACATTTAACAAGACCCTATTCACTTCACTAAGATCGTAAAACGAAAGTTTACGATAAATTCGAAACGGGACGCTTAGAACTCTTGCCAAAACTTTCTATCGCATTAACTTTACACAGGTTTGCAGTATTCGCATGTAGAGCTTTTAAATAGACCACTTTAGCAACTTTTATTGGTTGTAGAAATCGTAAAAAAAAAGTTGCAAATAGCTGAAAAATAAAAAAATAGAATTCAGTATTTTCAATATGAAATGCAGCACTTAGACTAAACAACCGAGCCAGGGATCCCTGATGTTGCATAATCACCTCTAATTTAGAACTGTTGACCTAATAAAGATCAACCAGTCAACAACACCCGCTACATACGTGAATACTCAAAACAGAATAACGGAATTGAGTGTCGCGGTTATACCCCCCCCCACCCCCCACCACACACACACCTGGAAGTGTGGAAAGTTTTGAGCGACAAAACATGAGACTCGGGACTCAGCCCTTTTGATCCGCACCATAATAAAAAGAGAACACAGGTTTTCAGTATCGCTGAGTACAAAAAAATCAAGCTATTTTATCCCATATCTGATAGATACTCAGGTCATCACTATACATACATTATTACAAGGTATATAACATTACTATGCATACATTATTAACATACATACGATATTTCTCTACATATATGATTATTATACATACATTATTAACATACATACGATATTTCTCTACATATATGATTATTATACATACATTATTAACATACATACGATATTTCTCTACATATATGATTATTATACATACATCGTTAATATACATACGATATTCCTCTACATATATGATTATTATACATACATCATTAATATACATACGATATTCCTCTATGATTGTTATACATACACCATTATTATACATACAGTATTACTATACACATAGCATTAGTATAAATGCATCACTATTATACATACAGTATTACTATACACATAGCATTAGTATAAATACATCACTATTATACATACAGTATTACTATACACATAGCATTAGTATAAATACATCACTATTATATATATACAACATTACTCTACATACATCAGAACCATACATATAGCATTACATCACTTCTACTGAGATCATTTTGTTTGCCAAATTCTGCACAGCGTATTTCAACTAAACTGTAGTTCAGATATAGGCCTTTCACACAGATGAACTCACATTTCAAAATGACGTACCTAATTCTGTAACAAAAAGTCTGCAAATGAAGAACGCTGATAAATGACGTGAAGTTATGGGTTTGTCCCTTTTAAGCGTTTTTAGTTTATATCTATTATCAACCACGGCAACTGTTAATAATTAATGTTTCGTGTTTGCTATTATATGAACTAAAATAATCGCAACATTTAATACAGGTACGCAGTAGCGAAGTTTCGCCTTATGTGATTTACCTCAACAGCAGCAGCGTTTCAGCTCTTCCCTTGGCTAAACGCTTGAATTAACATTCACAATCTCAAACAAACTCTTTTATACCATGTAGACAACGGTATTTCATTCTTCTTATTTTCTCCCTGCTCTCAGAAGCTATAAAACAGTCGGACTTCTTTTTATAGCTAAAAATATTACATGCACGAGAAATAACTGAACACAAGCTTAATTTCCGCTGTTGTCAAAGGCAGGGATTCCCAAACGTTCTCAGAACAAGGCTCTCCTGAACATTCTGTATCCTGAGTGAGGCCCCCACCCAATGAATCTATAGTTACTGAGTACTTAACAGTATTTTGCATTTTGTGTATTTGCTACGGGGAACCCCTGGCCTGTACGCGACCTTATTCTATGCTCTTGCATAATGTATACAAACCCAAATAAATGAAAGCACGTGCCACATGCTCGATCTTTCACTTTAACAATGATATAGCCAATTGCGTTAAAATGAATGGATAGTATTGTTCTTATGAGCACGAGCATAGGGTATATTTCTCTAGTTAACGTATAGTTAATTGCTAAATCTAACGGCTTCATGAAAAAAAAAGCAGCAAAAAAAAGCAAGATGGCAATATATATAAATTTATGTATTATGCAGTATGAAAATGTTAATGTAAAAGTATGATCGTTATAACAAATTATGTTTCGAGTAATTCTATATTTTGTCAATAAAAGAAAATTCAAACTTGATGC